GGGACAGGCAGGACAGGACGGGACGGGACGAGACAGGATGGGATGGGACGGGACAGGCGGGACGGGACGGGATGAAACGGGACGGGACAAACGGGACGAAATGGTCATCCCGTCCCATCCCGTGTCCCGTTTAACATGGGCCCATCCCGTTTAGAATTAAGTAGGACGGGACGCGGGACGGACGGATCGACCCGTCCCGTTGGACAGCCTTAGTAGTGGCTACTAAACTTTCAATTTCTTAAGAAACAAATGATTTGAGACAAATTTCTGAACAATTCAGTACATACAAGATTTACCAATTTATCAAAGATTTATAAACAATTAAATAAGATAGGTGCAATGAAAATTATATTAAAGTTATGATATGCCGGGATAATTTGTAAATAAGACAAAATTTGAGCAGAACTTGTAAACAATTTAAGAAAATAGGTAGAATGAAGATTATACTAAAGTTATATCCGCCCTGCATCACTTGTAAACAAGGTAAAATTTGTCAATTGATAAGACTTGTTAATGATTTAGCAACATTAGTAGAATTATAAAAATTATTCCAAGACCATGCCCCGATCAGCAAATCTTATGAAAGATTAATTTTTCACTCTTCGGGATGTCTAGTGCCGCCGACATTATTTTGGTATATTCCTTAAACGGGGACAAATTTTAAACAGTCGGACAAAATGATACTATTTTTGCAAATCTTCCGAGCCGAACTACGCAGGAAAAGGTGTATTTATGATTAGTAATAAGATCAATGTTTTAGAGACACGATTGAATTGCTTTCTTTAAAAGTTGTTTTCTTCACGTTCATTTTACTAACGGGTTAATATAAGAACTTCACTCTTTCATGATATAAAAGATCTTTATAAATTATGTTGTTAGTAATACCTAAATTCTCAATGTTTTTCTTGCTTAAGTTTTGACCATTTAACCTTTTTTTTCTAAAGGTTATCGCAATTTCACAACACATGAATATTAGTACTAATTGGTACTGATATTCATATAGACCAACAAAAACGCAGTTTTATGGCAGTGACGTCTTTAATGCACACATCATTTCATAAAATGTCATGCCATTGTAATGACTAATGACATACTTCTATGAAAGGACTTATCCTTTTGTTGTCATCAACAATCTCGATAGTTCTGCATTTGGGACTAATTCGAAGCCTGACGAGGAAATTGGGGCTAACTTGAAGTATGTCTAGGCATCTAGACTGAAGACTAAATACTTGTATATTGGGTCACATGCTAAAGAGACTTTATGTATTGAGCCACAAGGTTTGCTGGTTCAACACAGCCCAACACATAATCAGAAGAAGACAAACTATTTATTTCAAATACAAAATAGTTGTAATACAACTTTAGATTCCTGAATATACCTCTAACGGTATACAAAAAATTGTACATAGTACATTGGTACACTGTATTTTTGTTTATATTAGATAGCCAATACATAGGAGACAAGTGTAGGTTTAATTTTTTGTCCTTATCTATTGAATACTTGTATAAATATCCTTGTACAGATTGAATGGAACACAGAGAAAAATTCTCAAAATTTTTGTCACGATCCGAAATTCCCACCTTCGGACCGTGATAGCGCCTAACATTTCACTTGCTAGGCAAGCCAACGTTAGAATAATATTAACCAATTTTTAAATAATTTTTAAATTTATTAATAACAAAGAACAATTGCGGAAGTAAAGTCTGAAATATAGTGAGTAATCCATAAAAAATAATGGTGTCTAAATACCATCCCAGAATTTGGTGTCACAAGTGCACGAGCTTCTAGAATAATACAAATAAAGGTCTGAAATAAAATAAAGCTGTCTGGAAATAAATACACAGCTAAAGTAAAATAAATGGGAATTTCAGAACTGCGAACGCCGTGTAGTTATACCTCAAGTCTCCTCTGAGTAGCTGAAATTCGAGCAAATTTATGATACGCCGCTGGGACCAACTCCAAAATCTGCACAAGAAGTGCAGAGTGTAGTATCAGTACAACCGACCCCATGTACTGGTAAGTGCTGAGCCTAACCTCGACGAAGTAGTGACGAGGCTAAGGCGGGTCACTTACATTACATGTACGCAATATTAGTAACAATAACAATAATAGAAATAAATCAGGTAATTCATTTATAATAATTGAAACCAACTCATCAGTCATAACCAATTGTCATTTCCATCAATTCTGTTGCAGCGTACAACCCGCTCTCACAATATATTCACATTCAATTCTGTTACAGCGTGCAACCATCTCTCACAAGATATTCACTTTAATTAAGTCTGTTGCGGTGTGCAACCCGATCCCCCAATATATATATGTATATGAATTTATAAATTTTTCGGATAAAAATCCAAAATTCATTAAAATATTCAGCAGTAGGACCCACGTCTCAAATTCCGAAAAAACATACGAAATCCAAACACTCATTCCGAGACGAGTCAAACCATACAAACATTATCCAATTCCGATGTCAAATGGACGTTCAAATCTTAAATTTTTTTATTTTTGGAAGATTTTATAAAAATTTAATTTTTCTTCCAAAATGTCACGGATTAATGATATAAATGAGGATGGAATCATGAAATATAATTAATATAGGATAAGGAACACTTAACCCAATATTTTTCCGTAAGAATCGCCCAAGAAACACCTTACCCGAGCTCAAAAATGAAAAAGGGTTGAAAATGGGATTTTCCAGAACTTAAGTTCTGTTTCTGGGACTTTTACCCTTCGCGAACGCGGTCAGTGCCTCGCGTTCGCGAAGCACAAAATTTGTGCTGCCCAATTTTACTCTTCGCGAACGCGAGGGATACTTCACGAACGCGAAGCTTGCCCGGCTTGGCCTTTGCGAACGCGAGATGCCCTTTGCGAATGCGAGATGCCCTTCGCGAACGCGAAGGCAATTTCCTGGTTAGCCTCTTTTCCTTCGCGAATGTGAGGCTTCGATCGCGAACGCGAAGCTTTGAACCTCAAACCTTCGCGAACGCGGTCACTCTATCGCGAACGTGAAGCACAAAACGTGCCAGCCCAATTTGCTCTTCGCGTTCGCGAGAGTACCTTCGCGAACGCGAAGAAGAACACACCAGAAGCCTCAAGTCTGCAGAAAACCAGATTTTCTAAGTCCGAAATCATCCTGTAGCCCATCCGAAACTCACCCGAGCCCTCGGGGTTCCAAACCAAACTTGCACACAAGTCCTAAAATATCATACGAACTTGCTCACGCGATCAAATCG